ACATTCACAACAACTGGTTTTCATAGTTTTTTGTTTATTTTTTTTGTGCTTCTTCTTGTTGTTGCCCGCTTGACTGCTATAGTGTAATAAAAATACATTTGAATATATATCGCAGTTGTATGATATAAATGTTGAAGACACCCGCAAAGTATGCAACGGAAAAGAGAGCGACAGTAAATTAGAAAAAATATAAATAGAAATACGCTGAGCTTGCCGAAACAAAAGCAGGTTAACGACTCTACATGTACTCGTATGCAAATCCGCAGCTTGTACAGCTATTTACGGAAATAAATATATGTAAGTTTTACATAAATGCACATAATTATTTACATTGTGTCCTTTTGTAGGTTAGTTAGTTGGGCTTGAACTATTTACTCTGGGGCCGTTGATTGAGCGCTTATATAACTACTTTAAAGTTTTATTAAAACAAATTCATAAATATTATTTTGAAACTCATTGTCTTTCTTTTAAGTTTTATACATTTTTCTTTCATAAAATTATTAAGTTTTTTAAAGTGCAATAATTTTTTTTTTTTATTATTTATGTTCAATTATATTAATTAATTTAAATTTAGTAAAGTAAAATATTTCGCATGTATAATTTGGTTAAGTTACCATTGAATTTAGGCAAAAAATTTGCAATTAAATTAAATTAAATTTTTTCAATTAATTTTTTTAATATAAATAAATTTAAATAAATTGTACACCAATATCGCCAAATGCCAATAGTGTCAACTAATTTAGTTAAAATGCCAATAAAATATTGCGGTTTCGCATAGAAATAAAGAATTTACGTAATTACTGGCGAAAAAATGCAAAAGTTTCGCACAAAAAAATGCTTTCAGCTCTAAAGTTAATCAAATGCAAATAAGCAAAAAGCTGAAAAGCTAGAATAACCACCGCCTAAAAATATGGCAAAAAAAAAACAAAATTAAATATGTGTAATATTTATATATGTGTTTGTATGAAACTATTGCGAATTTCATTGCATGAATTAAATTACATAATATGTAAATATGCTTTTTTATATATGAAAAAAATTATTTAATAATAAAAAAATATTTTTTTTTGTGCTAACAGTTTTTACACATTCCATTGTAACACGAAATTTTGATTAAATTATGATTTGCGTTTTTTTCCCATATATTTTGTTTTCTATGTTATTTCATCAGTTTATATTTTTTTAGTAATATTTTATATTTCTATTTTTTATTTTAGCCTTTCTGCCTTAAATTCTTTCACGTTTTTCGCGCTGATATTTATTTAACGTATCCTTTATTTTTTTTTTCTTTCAATAACCATGTTTTAACAATAAAATCTCTGCTTCTTCTCTATTCCATTTTCATATTTTAATAATAGAATAACCGTTAAATTATTCCGAAATCAACCAAATGTATGTAAGTGTGATTGCAGCAAAAGCTCAATTGTTTTGGCCATAAACAATGAGTATTTAATGGCGCCTACGCATAAAGCCGATATTAAAAACAATCAAATTTGTGTAACAATAACAAAACACAATGGTCAGATGTAATTAAAAATTAACGTGAAAGTCGCATGCGATTTTTAATCTTTTTTTTTGCGCGCGCCTCTTTTCAACCACCACAAGGGCATTGTGTGACTTCCATAATTAATTGCCAACAAATAATCAATTACAGTGTGTGTGAATAGTATGTTTACAAGCCATAATTAATATACAACAGCCGTAGGTGTCTGTCTTACCTTCCGATTCGGTGAAGAATCTCGCAGTAATTCTTGATAAAAAAAACTTGGCTAGAGGGACCTTATTGACGGCAGTACCAACAAAGTGCTGTAAATTTAGAATACCTGCAGAAGATCTATTGCGTCAAAATGGGCCTGCAACCCAAATGACTTTCCATATTGCTGTCATCGTTGAAATCAGGGCCAATTGACATGCAAGTGATGTGGGATGCAGCGCTAACAGCTAGGGAACTCAGGCTAAACGTATGGTGCGACGGTAAACGTATTCTGCCAGATGCAAGCCACCTACTCCTCCCCTAGCAGGGAGAATGGATGAAAAACTGAAGATATCCTAATCTATACTCACTGAGCCCTAAAGCTGCAGCTCAACACTATTTTCAGTGAAACCCCATACAACATTCTTGTTTCCTCGCTGAGTTTTGAAGCACCACTCAGTACAGTGTGTCGTTCAGTGACCCAGTTAATATGTAAACTCCTCGCAATCAAGCGATAAACTTGAGTACTGTTTGTCATGCGACGAACAGCAATACAACCAACCAAAAAAAAGTGGCGTGTAGTCAAAACACTACCACCTCGCACCAAGAGTAACAGAGTAACAGAGTAAGAACTGCCAAATTGCACGCCAGAAAATCTAGAACACCAAATCTTAAGGGTCACAAGGCGCAGCAGGTGGATAAACAGTAAATGAGTTCGTCAAAAAAAGCTTTAGGCTTTGATTGCGAAGTTGTGCGGGCAACTACTGAGCTTACGAGTTCCCCGGCCGCAAAAAAAAGAAACAATGTTTAGTTGTGGCTGGATATTTTGACATATAAAAATGCTAATCCATGTCGGTAAAAAAAGAATGTTAATACCATTTGTAATTGTGCGCTACTCAATGAGTTTTATTGGCATTTTCCGCCTTCAGTGGCTGAGTGTTTTTCTATTTGCCATTTAAGCTCACCGTCTGTGAGTATTCACGTTTTGAAGAGGCTATTATGAGGGTCATAAAGGAAATGCCGCCTGTCAGCCTTTTTCGGATTGCTTCTTTCCGCCAACCATCTTTCACGGCTCACCTTCACTCGTGGCAGTGTGTTTTTGAAATTCCATTTTGCATTAGCGATACTTCCGCTATCCTGCAGCAGGCTGGCTATCTGTCTTCCTAGCCAAACTCATCTCAGTCATAAGCCGTGTCAATTCAACTTCCTCAAAAACTCCTCGCAGCTACTCAAAACACCCCCGTTGTCATCTCAAGACTAGAGTTTCCTACCACCTTGTTCGTTTATCAATCCTAACCAAGTCGTTAACCTATTTTGACTGTTTGTTGTCTGCGCCTGCTTTGTGCTTTTCAGCGCACGAGTACTCATTGGAGACAATAATTTCTTTCAGCGTTCGTTTCTACTTTTTAAACATTTCCCGAGAAGTTTTGCCCACAGGCACAAGCAGTTGTATATACATATACATATGCACATATAGTCAAGAATTTTTTTTAAGTGTCTGTATGTGTTTCAAGTGCATGCCTAGTAGCTTTTATCCATTTAAATCGTAACTCACACCTTTCGCTGCTTAAAAAATTTTCTATCAGACTTTACTTTTTCTCCTTTTGCCTTTCTGGCGTAGCAAAACAGTTGAATGTTCTCGTCTTTATTGCCTTTGAAGTGAGTGGCTGGTATATACGCGACAAATTTTGTACATACCTAAATACTAACATCACTTGGCCTGAAGCGCCTAAATATGTCTTAAAAGTTAAGAAATCAAGGGATACTGTTCAATACCAAAAAACAAAAGTGAGAAATAATTTTTTTTAATATGTTTAATATATTTAACAACAAATTTTTAATTAAAAAACTTGAAAAAAAAATAAAGTTTTCCGAATTTTTAAAATAACATTAGCACATTAATTAAGTGAGTTATTATAATGATAAAATTTTTATTTTATTTCATTCAAAAATTTAATTCCTCGCTATATTTTCATATATTATATATATATATATAATGTTTTTTTTTATTTAATTTTTAAATATTCATTATACATCTTCTTTTAATATTATTTTAAAGTTTCCGTTACGATCACTGAAATGAGAAAAATCTTTTTCAGATCAATATTTTGTTGAATTATGTTGTTGTTTTGTTGTTGTCGTTGTTGTTGTTGTTGTTGTTGTTGTTGTTTTAAGTAGGGGAAAAAAATTATTTGAAAAATCTTTAAATTTAAAGAAAAAAGCGCCAAATACAATAATTTATACATCACATATTTTATCAAGAATTTTCAAAATTTCTGTGAAACACTTATGGACATTCTTCCCGTCCAGGTACCCAGGTATGAGTTTATGTATGTGTTATATATCTATTTGCTTTAGCGTATATGGGAGCACACACTTCTCTCTGTAGATATTGAAAAACAACCCCTTAACAAATAACCCTACATTTTTCGCTGGCGCCATCTAGCGGTTGCGAGCTAAGATACAATACTTTCATCAGAGAACGTATAATTATATACGTTCTCTGCTTTCACTCCCATCAGGCAGTAGGTTATTTATTAATAGTTTGAAATTCTTCAATGGTTGCTGTATGTGCTAAACTCCAAAAGGGAAATATTTTCCAAACCTATTACTTCAATAAAGGGATTTTTTACTAAATGTTCAATGCATACTGAACTTCTATATTTGAAATATTGAAGAAATATTATGCGTATTTAAGAACTGTATAATTATTGTTGTATTTTCTTCTGTTTTATACTTATTTTATAACATATTATTTAATCTGATTTTATTTAATCTTATTTTATTTCGCTGTATTCTATTTTAATATATTTTTTTACTTTATTTATATTCCTGTTTTGGAAAATTTTGGTTGAAAATCTAGTTCTGCTCCGCCTTAAACCAAGATTAGATTCCTTTCGTATATATGTATGTGCATAAACCTGTATATGAAGATCTTTTTCAAAAAAAATATATACATCCTAACCAACCAAAAAAAAAAAAAAAACTTTAACTTCTGCTCTCCCAATTCGACGGCTTGAAAATCAATAAATAATAATGCCAGGGAAGCATAATTCAATAATCCAGTCATATGTGAATCGTTCTCAACAATTTTTATATCCAACTTTCGAGACGCACTTTATTACAACGATACACGCACACACTGCTTTTCATAAAGAACAAAAAAAACTGCCCTGTGTTTATGCGCAGTTTCGCTGGCAGAAGCCACGCAAAAAAAACCAAATGCCACTTATCTAATTCCACATCATTTGACTTTTATTATGGAAACTTTTCTCACCCAACTCTACGATTTTTATTATATTTTCAGTTATCCGAGTTGGAGCAGCGCGTCGTCGAAGCGGAAGAACGAGCTGAGGAAGCGGAGGATAAGGTAAGTGGAAATGGGAAACAAAGGATATTCAAAAAACCAAGTAAATAATAATAATAATAATGAAAATCAAAGCGCTTATTTCTTAGGGTAGAAAAAGTCTTTAAAAAAATTAAAAATTTCAGCCAAATCTTTCTGTAATTTATTTGAAATCACAAACAAAACCACTTTAAACAACCGTTGTATCATCTGCTTTGTGTTGTTATTGTGGTGCTTGTATCTGTGCATACAACTGTTGTTGCTAAACTACTTTTAGGGTGACTTTTGCCCAACTCATCATGTTCGTTTAAGCTCAGAAATCTTTTCGACAAACCACAACGAAATAAATCAATTTCAAGTATATGCCGAATTTAACACAAATTTATACAACTCTTAATACCAAATTCGCTTTCTTTCAGTTGGTGGTGACGCAGATAAAAAATCTTCGTGTATGGCCACGTGCCTGAGTGTATGCTACGGATTTGTACTTTGTCATTAGTAAGGTACTTGAAGCTTTCGAGTGATCAAAACAGCTTTAGAGGGTCGAAAGTACCGTAGTGAGAAGGGAGAACGCTTTGTAAAGAATGAACTTAACTCGAAAATACTTATATTAGAAATTTAAACGAAAATATTAGTGAAAATAATATAATAATAATAAAAGAAAAATAGTAATGAGAGCGTATGGATTTGAAAATAGTAATTATTGCTTGTACTAGTTAAAAAATATGCTTTTACTTTCCTTACTAAACAGTATTTTAGTTAATGTTTAAATTTAATAAAATGTGAAAAAAATAATTAATTCATATTTATAATATATTTACAATAACTTTCAAACAATTTTTGCTAGAAAAATCTAAAAAAAATTTAAAAAAAATTACTATTTACGTACAAAATTTAACTGATATTAAAAAAATACGAAAGTTTTTTTAAAAACAAGAGCTTAAATTTTCTTGAACAAAATTTAGCGAAATAAATAATTGTAATGATGTTTTCGAACACTTGATATTATTTATAATCCTTCACATATATTTTCATGTGGGAAAAAATAATGAATGTAAAATCTAAAGTAATTTTAAAATTTAATATGATTCTTGTTTTTTGATTTTAATAATTTAGTAATAATTTTCTTAATAATAAAACGTTGTAATTTCTTTTACATTTTCATTCAAATTTTTTAAAATTATTTAATTTTCTTTTCATTTTCTGGACAACTATTATGATTTATGGACAATTATCAGGGTTACTCCACTATTAAACGTTTTGGCTACTTTTCTTTAATACTTCAAATATTCATACATGTATATGTATATAAAACTAATTTCAATTACAACGAGAATATAATAATTGTGAAGTTCCAATAATGAACATTTTCCATTTTCAACGAGAAAGCATTCCTTCTGACCCGCTACCCAAGCATCAGTGCGGCTATCCAAAGCATACGCAAGTGGCAGAGTCATCATTACAGAAGCAACAACAATAATGAGAACATTAGCAAATTTGAAGACCCAACGAAACAAAGGTAGAGCCTTTGACTTCAACGAAGCTGCCTCTGCTTTCGATCCGCCACCTTAACTAAAACAACAACGAAACAACAGAAACATCTTCGCAATGTGAATAAACTAACTGAGCTGGGTTGAGTCGAGTTGCAGCTCAACTGACACCATTATTCATTTTTCCTCGCTTGCCGCCCACCTCAGCGCACTTACAGCGGCAGTAGTAGTAACAGTAGCGTACCGGAAGTGGCATTAAATGCAAAGTAAATGCATTTGTATGTTTAATATCTAACTGTTATATGCACCAGGATGCTTCTGTGAACATTCACTCGATCTGAGTGGCCGAAGTAGATGGGGAAGGGTATGTTAGAGCAAAGCTTTGCCAGCGCTCCAGACATGTTGCAGCATAACATTCAGAGATTAACCGAAGTTTGTTTGCGTTGTTGTTGCTTTTTTGTTTTTGTTACATGCGTTGTTGTTATGACGGCTGTTGCCGTCGTAGTAACCTTGTAATGTCAGCGTCCGCCTCCTCGAACGTACGCAAGCAAGCAAGCATAACCACCAGCACAACCTCCCAGCACGCCACCTTCGCCACACCCAAGCCTGCACACTCGCCCTCAGCAGACAAGCTATTAGCGTGCAAGCTGAGCAGTGAATGCTTTTACAATGCCTGTTAATGGTGAAACCACTAACTGAGGGTAGGAGGGCGGGTAGACCTGTGCTTTTGTATTGTGGGGGGAAGAGATGTGAAAAAGCATGGACCGGGCGCAACAATGCTGCCGTATTACCACGTCCCGAGGGTATTTTTCATTATGCAAACAAACACCGTTTACAGGAACACACCAAGCCACCCGGTTTTTGTTTGTTGTTGCCCATACTGAGAGTGCTTTAAATCATACAGTTATGTATTTGTAAATATATAAACAAGCAATATATGTATGCAGGTGTGTGATAGTTTGTGTGTATGTGTGTGTGTGTGCCTTGTATTTGGTCCAGCGCTGCTATGATGGTCATTCACTTATCTGTTTTACTGTCCTTCATTTATCATCTGACCTTTTTTTCTCACATACCAGACAGAGGCCTCCTCATGACTACACGTCTCCTCTGTCTTTATGAACTTTACTTTGCTTCCTTATGCACATAGTTTTTAGCTTAGGTAATCTTCTACGTGCTCACGAAGGTCTCCTTCTCGCTTGAATCCACATGCACTCCTGCTCTATCACTCCGATTGGGGAACCCTCTGTTTGTGTTATGTTTTTGTTGTGCTGCAAATTGAATTTACCTTATTGCATTCATTAAAGTATTTAAGAATTAAATGCAAATAATATCTACTCCAGTTGCCACAAGGGAATAAACAAAGTCTGTGTGCTTATAATCTCTTGCTGCCTCGAGCTATTTTATGGTTTACCGTTATCAGGTATGTGACGCAAGCGGCGGGTATTTGCTCAGTTGCTTAGTTGCTCATCATAAATTCACTTATTCACTCACTTACTAATCACAGCCGATGTGTAAGGCAATAAATAATTTAAGAAGAAAAAATATATTAACCCTTCCGCAGCAAACTCTATTCAAAAAACTTAAAGAACTCAAACGAAGCACTGAAAGCTCATACTTTATTTATTAAAAAAAAAAAGATATTATATTTAATAAAATAAAATTCGTAAAACCCCTACTAAAAATATATTATTTTTTTTTAATATTTAAAATAATATAATCAGCGAATCTTAAAATCAATGCCTTCATTGTTATTTTATTTTGATTTATTATATTTAATAATATATTTTTACTTACTTTTCAATATTTATAATCTTTTATCTTATTTAATTTTAATATTGTATTTAATTTTTTAGTTTTATTAAATTTTCTTTAGCTTTTTATCAAATTTTTTTTAATTTTTCTTTTATATTATTATTTTATTATACTTTTATGTGGTTTTATTTTAATATTTTTACCTTTTTAAATTTTATATAAATTAATATTTCATTTAATGAAGTCATGGCAGCCCTAGAGCACAACATTATTCCTTGTGCATTTGTTTTCTAAAATATTTGCAGTAAATAATTAATTAAATTCCGCTGTGGCTTAGCAACTCAATTGATTGCTTGACAACATAAATTTTTGCATACTTTTTAGCGTTGAACTCAGTTAATACATCATGATACTTATTTAGGGCTTGTGAAAAGTGCCTTTGATCTGACACTTGCCGGCAGCTACGGGTTTGAGTTTAACGAAAAAAGTTTGATTAAATTCGCTGTTGCAGGGCATGACCGGTGAGGCTCTTTGAAGCTTTGAATCATATTGAAAATTTCAATTAGTTTTCGAAAATTGCTAAAATTCTTGGAGATATAATAAGAATGAATACTAATGCCCTCTTCTGATGACACCATCACATCTATTATGACTTGCATTTGCTCTCTCTCTTCAAACTTTCCAACGCAATTACTTTCTTGTATTTTCCCACTTGAGCTTAAGTAAATATCCCATTACCTGAGGAATAATCAAAAAAATGTTCTTTGCATCTCCTTAATTGCCTTCGGTGTTTCGTCAGGTAATTAGTAAAATTTTATTTTATTTTTTATCAAACAAGCTTTTTCTTTCCTTTTTCTTTTCCTCTTGTTTTTCTTCTTTGTTAATTTCAACATTTTTTTCTCTATGCCATTTGCTTGCTATATCTTCTATTATTATTCTTATTTGCTGTTGAATTTGCCAAGCACCTAAAGTTGTAGCACTCAAAAAATACTTCCTTAAACTGCTTTCCTTGTTTCCTTTTATTTCCCTTACACTCCTCTTTTTCTCATTCCCAATTGTTTTCGTTATTTAATCCCTCAAAATTACTTTCCTTTTATTATCTCACTCTGTTAAATCCACCTTGAAACATTTCTTGTCATTAACTGTTTTCTTTTGATTTCTCTCATTGTCTTAGTTTTTAACGTTCCTATATTGCTAAATGAGTTCTTTCTGCATTTTCTGCTGTTGATTATTATCGTAAGCTACGCCTTTGTCTGGCGAAAAAAAATGTCCATGGTTTCCACGGTAATTTGATGTCCTTTAAGAAAATTGAAATTATATGCAATTAGTGAAAGAAATTTAAATCTTGGAGAAGCGAAAAGCTAGAAACTCGGCTATAATCGCGTAACCGGCGTCTACGCCAGTAAGGAAGAAAGAAGAAATTGAAGAAATCACACACTGAAGAGTCATGCTGTCGGAAACCTCGTTCGTATCGAACAGATCGGAGAGATACTCCCCAATTCTTACTCTGCTGTGGTATTGTCCCGCTCGAAAGTACTTGACATCTGGTATTGTAGAGGCTAATCCAACGGTAACTAGCGCAGGTAATGCGCCCCCCTTTTATGGATTATGGAAACTGATGCATGCACGTTGTCAGCTCTTCAATTTAGTTATAACTCCTAGATTTAATTTGAAGTTGTTTTAAAAACTCGTATCTCTGAGGAACGAAATATGCTATGAACAACTTCTGGGTGTAAGACCTCGCATTAATTTTTTACGGTAAATACACAATAAAGCTGTAAT